TCTGAAAGGAAACGAAATGTTTCCATCGAGGAGTATTATATCAGAGTGGTACTGTTCCGTTTAGCCGCTTACACGTTCCATTTCTAAAATATTAACTATTTGTAACTATTTCTATATTGTTCTATCACAAAAATATATTTACAACGTTTTAAACGTTTTCATTCATCGTCATTAATAATTGAGTATTTGAAAGAAATATACGTATTTTATTTATTGTCATCAATTTTTTCTTTTTATAGAATAGTATTTTCTTGTTCCTTAGCATAACTGAATGATATATTGCTGTTTATTGCAGAAGAGGAAGGCTATAATTTTCTATCGATAATGAAGTACACTTTTCTGAGTAAAAATAACCCGAAGAAACTTTATATTATGCATTGTTGGAAATTAATTTCGTCTACGTATTGTGTTCGAAAGTGTACTATAGAAAAGGTGTGTAACTATGTAATGAATGCAATATGGACCCGAGAAACGTGTTGATATAATCGAGATAACGGGAACCGAAAGTCAAAGTGAAAGTTATTTTTCGCTATTCGAACGGATCAATATTTTAGAATGGGCTCTGTTTTGATCTACGACTAAACCTATTATTTTTGCATGAACGTACATTTAATTAAAATAGCAAATCACTCAGAATTTATTTTTTACACGGAATAAAGAAAATGTTTGAATGCAATTAGATTCAGTTAAAAGAACAAATCACTCAAAGTAGTATAGAAAGTATAGTCAGTAATACCATTACATTGCATAACAGGATTTCAATTTTGCGATTCAAAAGAAACTAAATGTGAGTGTTCAAGATGAATCGCACAATTGATTTACTAGAAACAATGGAACTACTGGCATGGAAGTTAATTAATTACTTTTAAAAAATCCTATTAGTGATTGTATTAGTCGCTGTGTGCACCGTTAATTACTCCACAATGTCCTGGTTACCATCGTGTTCAATTCTAACAACGCCATTGTATGCCGCAAGAGAAAATTCATTTCCATTCGCGCTGCGTTTAGAGGATACGTTTTCTAAATAATCACCAGGTATCCGCAGACTCCTGATATTACGCATAATATGTACGTACAATATTACCAGCTTGATAGCGTATTTAAATGTCACTGGCAACGCTGAGAAAATGACACTGGGTTCGACGTGAAGCAAAAATTTATATGCTCATTACCTATTCGACAAAAGCATTTGCGTTTACTAGACAATTACTTCCGCGATTTTTACATTGTTAACTAATAATTCTGCGATTTACACGATGTAATAGTACTTTATCATTTAGTCACTGGGAATGTAGTTAAAGGTAAACGCACATTAATTAATCATTAGAGAACAACTGTAAAAGAAAGTTATGTTACAAAATATATGTTAAGTATGTAGTAAATCTCTCATCATATTTTATAGTTGTTTTGAAATGTTTAAAAGTCTATAAGAATTCACTGGTGCTTTAGACAATGGATTGTAATTATTAACAGAACCATGATTAATTATGATTAATGAGTGATCTATTCTTTTTATAAATTTAATATTCATTCCTAGAGAATTATTAGCTTCTCCTATTCTATAACGTAATCATAGGTGTTCGCTATTTTCATATTTACCAATCATAAGACCAAGACAATACTCTTAATTTAAATTCCATCGTCCTATTAAAAAATACTGAATTATTCATCAGTACAGCTAACCGAAGGCGATTACAACATTCAAAATTCTACCATTTAAAGCAATCCATTTTGAATTTGGAGAAATATAAGAAAGTTTGTAAAGACTCTAAATAATACAATACTTCTTCAATCCAATTATAATAAATAATATATTTTTTTCTGTAAGGACATTCCCACTATTATTTAGCTTCTAAAAATTTAGCCTTTCCGGTTTAATATATCTGCTTTCATCGAGATAAACACATATCATCTGACACTTCCTCCAGAACTATGATTCTCTGCAAACTGCCAGGTGTCATTTCGATCCAAATACCATTTAATTCTTTGGAATTTCTCTCGGCAGCGTTGTTTCTCATCAGAGTCAGCGCTAGTATCAGAAACATCGGATTTCTATTTCCCGCCCTCCGTTTAGCACCGTATCAGAAGCTGGCTAGGGCAACCAGTAATCCAACAGCCGCTATCTACTCGACTGTCCTTAACTGACGCACGGCAAAGTGGTGGGGTGGTCTCGCGGGCAGCACTTGACACGAGGAAAGGAAAGGAACGCGACGAAAGAGGTGAGGACTGGGAGGTGGCGTCAAGACGAGGCAGTTCGGGCGTCCAAGGTAATATAAAGGCATACATCGACTTCACCTGGTTTAACTTACCTGGAACATCGAACAGCTGCCGCTGTCCAGCACGGTCAGGAAGTCCGTCAGTGCCACACCACTTTCTACCATCATGTGAGTCCCTTCAAATGGATTTCGAGAGACTTCAATTTTTATCCCTAATTTTACTTTAAACATTCCTATGTTGAAAGTCCACTATTTTTTGAATATCGTAAATGATTCTAAAGAACTTTTAATAATAGCTTGTTAATTTTATTTTTATTCAACTGTAGAGCTGTGTGATGTGTAATTCGTTTGGAATGATGAATATTTGGGTGTTCTTCGGAAATTTGATTTTAATTTAAGGACGCCTGTGTTAGAAGCACGTCAATGTTTATTGTCATGTATTGTTTGAAATGATTAATTTTCGGAATTGGTTCAACTGTTTGCACGTTGTATTTTGTATATGTGATTTAATTTTGAGGTGGCTTGAATTTGTCCCTGATTTTAGTGTAATTAACATACCTGTGTAAGAAGTATTGGTTTCTAGTGTGAGTATAGTTCTATTGTGTGGTTGATTCTTGAAATACCAAATTTCAAGAAATTCTAATATTTACTAACTTTATGTTGATTTTATTATATCTCAATCAAATGTGACCACTTTCTTTGATTATACTACATTTTGCAGAATTTTGTTTTGATTTTAGTTCCTCGTGCCACCAAGAAATTTAAAAACAGTACCATAGTAATTTAATATCGTGACGCTCATGAACCACATTTATTAACACTAAAATATTTTTGAATAAATAGCATATTATAATCGATTTATACTGTAATTAACCTCGTGCCAGATCTTCGAATATTAAGTGTTTCAAATAGTAATTTTAAATCGTTCCTTTTTATTTTCCTTCGCAATCACTCCAACGTTTACAATTAAAAGGCTTTACTTCAGTCCACTAGCGCACGTCCCATGCAATAACAATTGCAAATCACGGTAATAATAATTGCAAATATTCGGACGCTCCGGTTGAACTTCATCGAAACGAATGCGTCTGAATAAAAATATGCCAATTGACATAATTTCGATTACGTCTTGGTTTCTTGCATCGAGCACAATAACGCAATACAACGATAACGATCTCATGAATATTTACTATATACGAGGCAAACAGGAATAATCGGTATTTCTGAAGATACATTTTTCCATGTTCGAATCAGTTTCCTCAGATATATATGTATTAGGTTCCACTGTCAAAGAATAAAAGAATGCATGAAAATTGTTACCTCTGCAAGTATGTTTAATATATTCAATACGTATTCATGTCTTAATTATATTCAATAAAACCTGTTTAGTATATTCAATAGGATCGTTCTGAAATTGAAACAGTCGCAGTCCTTTCAGGCCACGTTATAACGTTTTATCTCGTTCAATTGTATTCAACGATAAGTGGATCTCGCTGAATATCGTGTTAAGATGCAGATGTTACATAAGGCGAACACTAATGCAATCATGAATTTTATGTAAATCGTTGCATCAAGTCTCCTTATCAGCTCTTACGAAGCTATCCGTAGTGTATTTCGAGTAAATTTTCAGTCTACCCACCTATAAACTTCTAATAAGTTTTTACAAATCTTCAATTCGATAACAAAAAGAAATGATTAGACGTGGCACTGAATAATCTACTATTGTTCGTTAATTTGATTCTTTAAGTATCCCGAATTTCAATCATTTTTCTTCGACACTATAAGTTATTTGTGAAAAACAAAACAACAGGAACACGTTTTAAATTCCAAATTTTATTACAAACGCAATAGTGAATTACTCATCGGTACTCGTAATACCACTCTTATCTTCAAAGTAATTATTTCTTGAAATAGTCTAAGATAGAGGGATTATTTTGAAAAGTAAGTCTTCAGAATTAAGTTGCACTTGAAGAAACTGCAATCTTATGAAATATTATCTGCTAATTATATGTCTGCTAATCTCAATAGTTAGTTTGTGGTAAATATATCTTGATGACCAAAAGTTTTCTGCCTCATACATTTCGTAGACGTAGTAGAAAACGAATGTAGATAGATCGAGTTCTTATTTAAATAATCGAGCGATCTACACGATCGTTACATTTCCAATTATTCATTCACGTTTCTAACGACGACACCAGTTCACGTATTTCCATTTTTGCCAGTGGCTAAATTGTTTTTGCGTAACCAACCAACCAAGATTGTTTCTGCGAACAGCGATAAAAATTACGAGCATAACATCGATCTTCCGCATCGATTTCGTCAACAATGGCCTTGTCTTCTCCATGTAACGAGCAAAAATTGCTATGGAAATCCCGATAATCAGCAGATATATCACCTTGTTTAAAAAACAAATACCGTGTCTCCTCGTTCTTGAAATAAACACGTGAACGAAAATATTCTGAGAAAAGAATCTAGAAATTACTTGTGAGATTGAACTTGTCTGGAGAAATGAATAATTGATGTATCGATCGTTAAAGTGACCTTAATTAATTATTAATTTTCTTGCGCAGTTAAAATTATCTTGGTTTTGTATAAAAATAATGAGGATATGTGTAAATGAATGATTTTTTTTACTAAGGATTGCAGTTATTCGTTTTTATGAATAATTCTATTATCGGAACATATTTTGTAACTATGAATTATCTCGATTATTACCGTTATTTTCAACGTGGGCGACAGAAACGTGTCGCACGTGAGATCCTCGCCTTGAAGCCCGTGAAAGTGAAAGGATTTCTGATTTTATCTTGCACAACGAAATGCGACTCAGGGGTTAAAAGTACATTACACCGGTTATTCTTAACGCGTAGCTTATTTCTGAACTTTAGATCGGATTATCGATACGGTTATTAATTAAATGGAAACGAATGCCTCTCGATCACCATAAATCTTATTTCTCAGTCTCGTTTCTAAGAAGATGCCGTTATCTATGCATTACCATTACAAAAATTATAACTTCAAAGACTTAAAATAACATTTTGAAGCTTCTAAAGTTATCACTAATGACAATTTATTTCATTCATATTTGGTTAAATTCACCTGAAAATAAAAATTAATTTCATAGAAACTAGAATGTTCTAAGCTAACAGAATGTACATTGGTGTATTTATTACATTCATAAACAATGAAGAGTTTTTACTGTATGTTAATAATTATCACACTATCACACAATTTATAAACATAATCTGTTTCATAAAGGTAGCTATTAATTTATATTATCATAATACACAATCGTAAATTTGGTGAAAGGTGATTACGACTAGCTATCGCATATAAACGGCAATTGAGGTGTATCATTTTCTCCTTGGAAAGGCGAACAAATGACGGCGAAACAGAAGAAAATTAAAAATAATGTGTACCGATAAGACACTTTCTCCGGCTATAAAGTAGAAAGTTTAGCTCGATTGACGTGGTTGATCACGCTTCGACAGAATAAACGCTTCTTTTTTCTTGCTTTCGTTGCGCGAGGTATGTGATTAACAGAGCGAGACTAGTTGCAATAAAGTTTTTACTCCTTTCTATGGATCACTGGTATACATATACAGTACGTAAATACTGGTGGGTCTGCTGCATAATGTATGGTAACGAAGACACGTGCCCGCGCACGCCCTATTCATTTTTGCTTATATCCAACTTTCACTGCATTCTGAATCGTAGAAATTTTGTGTTACAATTCATAATTACATTTTTAATATTACCACTAATATTATTTACGAAGTACTTTAATCATTGGTATATCGATCACTTGTTTAATTGATTTATCTATTAAAGTTTTGGACTTTTCCCTCGAAATATGTTTGAGTATTTGAATTTGTGTTCGAAATTTTTGTTCGCGTGTTGATAAGCATTTTTAAGTTTATGTTAAATCGTGGATAACACCCAGAAGGTTTTCCGTCATTTTATCTGCGAACATTATTTTTAACTTTGTTGGCAGTACTTCTGTTAACAGTAACGAATACATGCACTTGTGTAAAAGGAATTTATATTTCTTAAAATTACTATGAAAACATTACGCTTTTATAATTGCACCAGTTAGCTGCGAATACCAGTTTACATTATTCAAAAACGAATCGAGTAAGAAAATAATTGTCATAAAATCTGAGTACAAGAATGTTTTTTCTTTATTATACGAGATTTCCGTTTTGTCAAGAACACAAAATTTTTCGAAATGCTGTTAACTACTTATTGGATCAAAGTGATACTATATTCGCACTAATTAATGAAGTTTAATTAATAAATATATTTATTTCATAAAATATAAAAACTATTAACTCGAAATTAAAAATCATGCATAGAGATAGATTGCCCGACTTTATTAGAATTATTTATACTTGTACGTACCTTTCAGATATATTAGGATTAGACCTCATTTTCATGTATTTTCTTATATTATAAGTCAAGATATAATTCATGTGTGTTCAAAAATTTACGAAAAATTTATTCTTCTACAAAATCTTATTATTTCACTGGACCCAAACACGTTAACGCATGCTATAACAATTAATAGTAATAAAAGCTGATTGATTTAATTTTCGTAGCCTTTTTAGAAGTCCGTTTTCGTTTCTTTGGAAAATTTCACTTCGGAACCATTGAATAAGAAAAATCCGTGATAAACAGCGACAAGTCTCTTTGGAAGCGAAAGCTTTTTGGCACAAAGAAAGATCGAGCGAATGAAGTGACGAGCGAGAAAAAAAAAGACGAAGTAGAAGGAGAACCAGACGGAGTAGCCCTGAGCAGTGAAAGTCGCGAATCGGGTTGAACTTTGCCGGGAATGGTCAGGCCGGTGATTTAACGTGATTCAAACGGAAAAATAAACGAGACGAAATTATAAAAATACTCATACGCCCACCCGGGGCTCTTACATAAGAACGAGTCACCGATTTATTTTTCTGCCTTAACTGTGTCACTATGCTCGCTCGACTGGTCGTATTCGGCGCGACGTAAAAATCACGAATTCACGCTTTCGTTCCTCGTTACTAGAAAATTGAATTACAAACGTACTACAATCTACCAGCAAGAAAATGTAACTTGCTCCAATCATTCCTTTACATTCTTGCAGTTTAATTTCTTTTTTTCATTTCTATAGAATTACCTGAACAAATCTATACCCATTACTATAGACTGTAGATGTTTATGCATTTATAGCGTCTCCTGGCTTGCAAAACGCAACAAAATAAAGATTCCAGTAAAACAGAAAATTACTTATGCATTATTATTAACATATGAAAATTCATAATATAGAAAAGAAATTTCTGTGCAATTTTGTTTTTTCTATATTACTGTCCAAAATTGTAAAGCAGAAATATCCACAGTGTAGCCATTACATATCTACATCCATCCATTCAGTTTTCCTTTCTATTAATGGTCAATGATACGCGTCAATCGAATCACGTGATAAGCAAGAATCGAGTCGATAAGAGTGTATAGTGAGTTCATTTTATGACACGTAAACGGTTTATCATTAATCACATTTAATGCATGGAAGCAGGACGTAGAAGGAGTAAATTAAGGATCCTCTTCGTAAAATATTGATAGACTTGAATACAGTTTCGTGGATACCATTATGAATAAGTAATTTCTTTAGACAATTTTGTTTTAGTGGAAACGTTTTTGTGTTGTGTCTGACGAAAGAATTTTGTTTACAGGGTGGTGTGGACGGCGCTGATACTAACAGCAGCCATTTTGGCGGAGGCAGCGGTACCAGATCCGCCATCATCCGGTATCACCACCGTCGGCTCTCTGAAATTGGGAACGGCAGCTGATTGCGCTGGCGTTGTCGCTTTTTCTGCTACCCAGCCTAAGGGCGGTGTAAGTTCATTTTTTTTAAATTGATTTTCGAATTAAAAACATTACTTATTAACACTACAACGACCGGTGACGTCATGGTAGTGTCAGGGGAAAAGCAATTGTTAGTGGTCGTTGACACGACACTGACGTCATCTCAGTGTTAATTGGTACTTTTCAGTTAATCGAAGTTGTTGAATTTTTTTACATACGTAGCCAAAACTATAGTTTTGTTAATTCTTCGTAGAAATACATAGTTGGCTACTGGTGAAAGTTATTCAGGAATTTAGTCGGTCGTCATAGTGTTAATTGAGAACAATTCAGTCGGTTTATAGATCGAACTTGATAAATGCATATTCATATCGCTCCGTGGTCACACCATTTGAGAATTCCATCATAGTCATACATGATCCATTGACCACTCCAATTTTGAAACGGTTGCCGTTTTTACAATATTCGTTCTATTGGATTAAAAAAAATATGCAACATACGTTTAGTATTTCAGAACTTGGAACAGTCGTATTATTGTAAAAATTTCAATGTCAACATATTAACAAAAAAATCGCGAAAGTGAAAGTTCTTAAGAAATGAGTTTTTTCACTACAAGTTATTTAATTTTTATGTTATCAAGATAAAACATAAAATAGAGAGATATAAAGCCTTGAACTTTTGTTGGGGTTATCTGAAACCTGAGTGACCACGGAAGGATATTTAAAATTGACTTAAAATTCAAACAATCGAGCAGAAATTCACATTTTTGCATATACATATATCGTTTTGTTCATCAGCATATCGCTGGTCTATATCCATTGCCATTCGACACGACACTGGTCAACAAAGGCGTCGGCTATGTCGCTCAAACGGGAATCTTCACCACCCATTGCCCGGGCCTCTATCAATTCAGCTTCGCTGGTTATGGCAGCGACGACCTAAGGCTAACTCTTCGAAAACGAAAGAACGAGTCTGAGAATTGGCGGATGGTTGTCTCCACTGGTATGGGAGGTGGCTCTAACTTAATTCTGCAGGAAGTCGAAGCTGGAGAACAATTCACGGTTGTCGTTGAGTCCGGAAAGATAGAGTGGAGCGGCACATTCTCTGGATATCGAATCGCCAAGAAATAATCGGCAAAATAACAATGATCCCTAAAGAAGATTTATCCTTCAAGATCGGCCGAAGCTATCTTTAAAAATAATTGACCACGACAATTGGATGATTCAATTCGCTCGTGATCGAGCTGAAATTCTCTACGATTCATCGGAACGCTACGTAAAATTTGGTCTTTCGAAAACCCCTTTCCTCGGTAATCAGCATTTAATTGTTTGTAATTTATAGTTTATATAAAACGTTTTCTGTTAATCGTGTAAATGTTCGAAGGCTGATTACCGATGATCTTGGTATGTCTATCGTGGTTACCTGATATCAACCTGATGCTGAAGAGTGCAAAATGGAAATGAACTCGATGTTCGATCGGTATTTGATAAAACTGCAAGTTTATAATGTTTTCTCTATATATTTAATCTACACGAGGAATCGCTCGGAATGATTATCATCGAAGTTGTAGTATGAGTTTCGAATTGGAAAATGATTGATCAGAGCGGTTTTAATCTTCTCCACGTACTTAACGCTCTGTGATAGCCCTCTTTTCCCTTCGTTCTTCTTTTTCTTACTGTCGTCACAATTTCATTGATTTTATTGGTTATTTTCATGTACAGTCGCATCGGCAGGAGTCAATGAAATTGTGAAACAAACTCTGTTCTCAGCTCATGATTGGTGATTTTCCTGATTTCTTTTTTATTTTCTTTCTCCTATTTTCTCTTTAGCTATAAACATCTTATTTCTCTTTTTACTCTCTTTCGTTGTACATACATCTTTCCACTCCGAAAATGTTTACGAATTCTTTAATTTTTATGTACTACTTTTTCTTCTGACCTTCTCTTTTTCTTTGTAAATTTCTTTTGCTTATCAAAATTACAACAATGATTTCGTATTCACTTTTAAATGTATACAATTTCTTAAATACCTATCAGTATTACGATCTCAAAATTTGCGGTACTTGCCATAAAATATTTTTACAGACTAGAATTATAACGAACAAAACCTGTTCTATATTTTCTTCCACGCTTTCAAGCTTTTCTTGCCTTGCATACTTTTGTCTCTTATTTCTCACTTTCTCTCGCGACACTATGATTATAGGCACTTTGCTGCAACTAGTCTTTGCTCTTCTTGCTACATTTCTCTTTATGACAAACTTTCTCTTCTCTGTTTCGTTATCTGTTATTACTTCCCGAAATATATATTAGACCTTTCGTTTCCTTTCTTCGAATGCACCGAAGTACCTGAACTTAATTGCCTTACTGTATATTATTTTCCCTTCTAGGTGCTATTTTCTTTCTTTATTTTACGCGATTCTTTCGAAAAATTCTTCTTCCTCTTTCTTTTCTATTCTTCTTGTTCCTACAATTTTCTGTTTTCTTTTCGAACGTCTTGTGCAAAGTTACCTCTCATTGACACTTCGCCTTCCTTTTTTCAATTGTCTTCTATTCTTCTACTATTCTGTGATTCTATTCTCTTTCTACTCTTGTTTTTCCCTATTTTGTCTTCTTTATTTTGATCCAATTTCCTAAATCTTCCCTCTTACTTTGCTGTCATACTCAAATTTCCTATCCTATTTTCTAGATCTTTTCTCTTACTTACTTCTCATACTCAAATTTTCTATCCTATTTTCTAGACCTTTCCTCTTTGCTCTTATCCTCAAATTTTCTATCCTATTTTTTAGATCTTTCCTCTTAGTCTGCTCTCATACTCAAATTTTCCGTCCAATTTTCTAGATCTTCTGTCTCACTTAACTCTCATACTCAAATTTTCTATTCTCTGTTCTAAGCCTTTCCTCTTACTTTGCTCTCATACTCAAATTTTCTATTCTCTGTTCTAGGCCTTTCTTCTTACTTTGCTCTCATACTCAAATTTTCTATTCTATGTTCTAGATCTTCCCTCTTACTTTGTTCTCATACTCAAATTTTCGATCCTATATTTAAATTTTTTCTCTTACTTCTGCCCAGATGGCACATGACGTCTAATGACGTCATCAAGACGCCTTAGGCCTAAAAGAGCCGTAAAATAGGCGTCTTCAAGGCATCATGTGCTATCTGGGTGCTGTTACCCTAAAATTTTTCGACTATTCTTATTACTTTCTGTTCCTTCCCTTTTTCATGATTTATTATGCATCCACGTATCCTGTTATTCTTCTGTTTTATTCTTATTAAATTCTAAACTTATTTTTCTATGAATTATCTGTTTTCACTTTTTTCGAATCAGTATTTCTTCTTTTTCTTTCATTTCAATTTTGTCTCTCTATGTCCTTCTACTTAATCAGCTTATTTTTCTTTATTTCTTCGTATTTTTTTCTTCTCTTTCTCTTTCTATTTTTTACTGTCTCTATTAAACTGTCTATACAAATATCTCACTCTGACTTTCTATTTTTCTCTTTACTTGTCTTTCTCTTTCCTAAAATCTTACTAGAAATTCTTTCTTCTCGTTCCTCTGTAATCTCCTACTCTACAACTATTCTCTTCTTCTCATTAATTTTCAGCTTTATATTTCAGTGCACATGTGTATAGATAACTATTCTATTTCTTTTCTTTAAACTCTGTCTCTCCCTTATATCTACTCAAAATACTTGTCTTCTATACTTTCCTGCTTCTTCTTCTTTTTCCTTTTATTTTCTTCTTCTCGTTCCTTCTTCTATTTTTCATTTTCACTCTATACCTTCTCTACTGACTATTTTCTGTACAGAGCTGTCACTTATTTCTTACAATACTGAACATATTTCTTCAAATTTTTTGTCTATATCCTCCACTTCTACTATCTACTTTTCTTCTTCAACTCAGTTCTACCTTCTTCTTCTTCTTCTTCTGACTTCTCCTCTCTTAAAACTCTAAATTTCGTTATAACTCTGTTAAATATATGTCGCCAAAACGTGACGTCTTTTCTAGTCTTTTTATCGATACATCTATAAAATTCAATGCTCTAACAATGCTGTGCATTTTACATTATATAAGACGTGACTTTCCTCTTTATTCTTTTAAACGAAAATTATTACTCTACTCAAATTTTTTCTCTATACACTCCTTTCTCTTTTTCATCTCGTCAATTTTCTCCTCGTCTGTTCTCTTATTTATTTTCTATTTATTTCTTCTATTATTACGAAACTTTCTATCCAATCTTACTCTTACTTCCTCTCCGTTCTTTCTTCTCTACCCTTTCACTCTCCTTCTCTCAGCCACAATCTCCGCGAAGTTTGTACAAAATCGTTCACACACCCAAGAGGATCGCTCTCAAAACGCGTAACAACGAAACGAACAGAAAAAAAACGGAAGTTTCTCCTCTCTTCTCTCGCCTCTAGTCCAGTTTTCCCACCTATCGTATTACTCGATCTACGCTACAAGAGAACGCTGTCTCACGGAATGTACAATATCGTGAACTGAAAATCCGTACCATTCCCTCCTCCTGTGCTGTGATTCTCATGTGCTATAACTGTTTTCCACTTTCAAACAGCCAACTATTTCCTGTATCAGGGTAAACTCTTACTTTTTAGTTGATTCTGTAAACTCGTGACAGTTGCTTCACACATCTGAAATGTTCTAGTAACGAATAAGACGAAATCCAATGACAAATACGTGATTTAAACGTTCTTTAATTAATCGACACGGTGACTGTCACGATACTTGTTCAAAAATTGATCTTTAGAATGAAATGAAAAAAGAAATAATACTCTGATAAAGATTGATATACAGAGCAACCATTTTGTTGAAAAATGGATTTTCATTCAGTAAAAGTTTTTATAAACATTAACTGTAACAGTCAACGTGTTGAACAATGAATTAATCGATGAATAAGCAACTGTTACTCTGCCTTATCTGTTTAAAATAAACGATCGGCTCTTATATCTCTGTCTTTCTTTTTCAGTATTCTTCTCTACCTTCTTGCTATACTTGTCTGTCTCTTCCTCTCTGAGATTTCGTGTCTACATGTAAATATCGAAATTAATTTCTCCCAAACGACCGCCGCGTTTCCGCCATGTCTGTCCACTCTGTTCTCTGTTCTGCGCCCGCTATCACAGCAGTTACGTTGTCGAGAAGTAGATCGAAATAAAGGCAACAACGTAAAATAAAAATAAGTAATAAATGTTTAAGCGTGGAAGGAGCGTGCACGTGGCTGCGAACAATGCGTTTTACAATTTCCCTCGTTTACTCGATTTTTCTTTGGTTTTAATGCTGTTTATAATAATCTTGTACGAATTACATTACATGTTTTTACTTGATTAAAAACTATGAAGCTTCAATAGAAACATCAAAACCGGTATATCACAATTTTTTTATAAAAAATATCCTCCCTGGATTTCCGATTGGGAAAGCTTGTTGTTTGACAACGTTGTCGGAATGTTCGATCAAATGCTCAGCTCGACGCGACCACCCAATTTTTCCTTGTAATTATCGAGGATCGGATTCACTTCTTCCGTCAAAAATTCCAAGACCTGTTCTGGTGCTCGACCAACGAAGGTCGAAGGATCGAGAAGATTGTCCAGTTGATCGAGGATCGGAGTGAAGTAAGGATCCATTTTGATCCTCTCGACCAGATCGTTGTCTCGGCCGTGCTGCTTCACCTGGGCACCGGCTTCTTGAGACAATACGCGTATTTTCTCGTGACACACCTGCGACGAAAGTATTCCTTAATTAGTTTCTTCCACCCCTAATTTCAAATAAACAATCGACGTACAAATAATTTTAGTTACTGAACCGTATTCGAAAAATTACAATCCTTTACAGGTAGGTATTTTATATTTATTTAATTTTCAATGACAGAAATAAAGTTTACCAAAGTTCCAGTCAATATTTCGGAGTGTAGTAAAGTTTTCTACGCTAAATACAACGGGGATATGTATCTAAATTTCCATTTCTAAAGAAAGAAAGGTATTTTCAATAAAATTAGTAATAATGACAGAACGTATGACTTAGAAACCAAGTTTCACAGTTAGCAGTATTCTATGGTATAATTCAATTCAGTTGTTAAATTTACACTAAACCTCTGAATATGTAATCCGAACCTACAGCAAAATAGTTACATTAAAAACCAATTGTATAGCTCCTTTGTTAAGTTCTAAAGTCAAATAAAGTTAAGTCTAGCAATCCAAATATCTCGTCCTGTTAGAAAATGCGAGGAATTAACCCAGATATCACACAGACGGCTTAATTGCGGCTCAATGACGGCTTAATGACGCCTAAGACTTAAAATAGCCGTGAAATGGGCACCTTCAAGGCGTCATGTGCTCTCTGGGTAAGGCGTTCAAAAATGATTTAAAAAACACATCAAATCTTTCGAACATCCGGAATTTACCTGCCTGTCGCCGCCAGCCTTCACCATTGCCATAATCATATTCTCGGCGGTCATGAAAGGTAATTCTTGGACCACGTGCCTCTCGATAACCTTGGGATAAACAACCAGGCCCTCTGTGATATTCTGAAGGGTCATTAGAATCACATCTGCCGATAAGAACGCCTCCGACAATGTGATTCTTCGATTCGCCGAATCGTCCAGCGACCTTTCCATCCATTGCGTCGCCGCGGTTTGCAACCCGTTGTTCACCAATGTCATTAAATGACGGGCTATACTGCAGCACCTCTCGGAGCGCATCGGGTTCCTCTTGTACGGCATAGCGCTGGACCCTATTTGCGTGGTCTCGAACGGCTCTTCGATTTCTTTCATGTTCGCCAGCAACCTGATGTCGGTACATATCTGGAAAATTAAAACAGACATTTTTCGACGCGTACTAAACGATGCCGAAGATGGTCGGAGCAGGCGAACGGGAGAGAGCGAGAGCGGTAGAGCGAGCCGCGGTATCGGTGCTCTTCGTCGATGTTGACGCGTGCCAAGGAATTTCGGGGGTCTCTAGGGGGAGGTGTGCGAGCAAGAGAGTACGGTAGAGCGTGCCGCGGTATCGGTGCTCTCCGTCGGTCCAACGCGCTAGAGACGTTGCGTCACACAGTTTATTGACCTAGCCGTGTACGCCGTGTACCATAGCCGTACCTGGCTGTACCATCCGGTGTTTGGGTCGTTCAAGGAAGGTCGTTCAAGTAGATAAAAAACAAGAACATGTGATTACTTACTTTATGAACAGTCGATCCCAAAGAGCTAAGAGCATTCAAGCATTCTACATCGACTTTTCTACTGTAAGTCTGCCCAGTTACTGGGTAATGCTTCTCGAAGCCGGCCATTTTGGTTACCAATTTATCCAGCTGCTTCACTTTTTCTCCGTCACCTATGAAAATAAACGTTTTTTATTTAAATTACAGAAATCATAATCTTCTTACTGAAATAGACTCTATTCTCTGATCAAAAGGTTTAAGGTTTTATTTTGTATATAGAAATTGAAGATCATTTGTTATTTTTCATGAAATAACAATTGAAAAAGACCTTTCTTGTACATAGAATATATTTACCATTAAATAATTGAAGGAAAGAGGCCTGAGTCCCAGTCGTTCCTTTTACTCCGCGACATTGGAGATCGTCTCTAGCACGTCGAAGGGCTCGTTCGTCCATCAAAAGTTCATAGAGCCAAAGAGACGCTCGCTTGCCAACAGTCGTGAGTTGGGCTGGTTGAAGATGAGTGAATCCCAGTGTCGGTAAATCACGATATTCCATAGCGAATTTCGCGAGACGTGACAAAACGTTCGCTAGCTTTGGCAGTAGTATGTCAAATCCATCGCGTAGAATAATCAGATCCTTGAAAAATTCATATTAATGTTAGAGATAAAATTCAAACTATAATACAGTGTTCTATAAAGCAATTTATAACTGCCGTAGACCCTCCATTTACAATTACATTCTTGGATACAACTTTGATACAAAATTTGATATGAAACTGACACTCTTCCTACGTATTGGTACATAAAAGTAACACAAAACCATAAATACATAATTCTAATCATAAGAACATAATTAAAGTACAGTATTTTCTTAATTTGATTTGATATGAAGTAAACAAAAGTTTCGTTTAAATTTATTACGAATAGTTCAGGTGGAAATTTACCGTGTTATCTCCAACGTAGCAACTGGTTGCACCCAAATGAATTATAGGAGCAGCTTTCGGACATTGCTTTCCGAAAACGTGAACGTGAGCCATAACATCGTGTCTCGTTGCTTTCTCCACCTCCGCGGCGGTCACAAAGTCAATGTCGTCAACGTGAGACTCCATTTCAGTAATTTGTTCAGGACTAATTGACAATCCGAGTTCCTAAAATAATTTTTTACGGTTTATGCTTCAAATTACAATATGCAAAGTGTACAATTAAAATATTTTCAAAATAGAAACGAACTACATTTACTGGATGTTCAGTCATCAACTTTTAATGATTTTATCACATAAAACATTAGATAAAACACTGTTGAAAATATGTTTAAACAAAATTGATTTAGCGGGGACTATTGTACATAGAGGGGGAGTTCCTCTAGGTCCGAAGACCCGAAAAGAACTGTAGCTTTTCCGAACGTAAGCCGCTACCGAATAAAAATTAAATTAACAATAAACTAAAGAAGGAAGGGGTGAATAAAGAGGAGGAGTGGCCCAACTGGTAAAGACACAGGATAATATAATTCAATTTTCAATACTGTTTGTCTTTATATGTGCGTCTCATCACACGATCTCATTTTGAATAATTTTAAACGGTTTAAAAAAAAATATAAAGCACTGCCTACGGAAAAGTAAATTTGCATAAAAACACAATGTACTAATAATTATAGAATTCAAAATAATTGGGTCAGTGAAATTTAAAAGAGGAACCATACAGGTGTTATGATCTCATCGGAATTGTTTAAAATCAGCAGGTACCCATCTAATTATCGTCTAGGTGTATTGAATATATATCGGTGGGAATCAATTCTAAGGAAAGCGTGTAACAACAAACGTTATATTTCGATGGCATCGGCTCGAATTATCGCTCGCGATAATAGGATAAATGTACAGGTGCTTTCTATACCTCTTATCCCTCTTTCAACGTATGCTGTATCATCTGATTAGATAAAGAGGGCTTGGTACTGGGTCGTAGGCATCTAGCACGCCGACAGTTTCATTCTGTTATCTGCTATACACGTTTCCATCGTGAAAAGTACGGTTTCCGGAGGGCAGACATGGTGTCCTTAGAGAGTGTCGCGGGTATAGTGATAAAAGTGCTCAAGTTGGTGAGAAGAAAATCCTTCGCTTTGTACTACATCGATGATTTGTGATTATCCAAGAAATAATAAAATTGTGTGATTAATCTGTACATGGTTGAAGATGAGTGATGCATGAGAGGAATCGATTGTGAGAAGGCCCTTATATACAATCACACCAATTTGGAAAATTTCTAATTAACAATTGTTTCCTTTCTGTAAATATCAGTGGTAATGCATTCGCACCTGGTCTAACTCATTAGTAACAACAATTGTGTCTTCTTCTTTATAGTATATGGTATTCCACCTGCATGTATTGCTGAAAGTAGACAGATACTGCAGGATGTTTCTAAAATAATTGAAAAATTCACCAGTATCACACTCCGTCAATACTGCAAAAATACAGGAACATTATTTTAAAGTACATTTCTGAAATAATAACCGTAATTATACTGTCCCACGACCAAAGTTATCTTAAGGTGATAATACGGTATATATAGTTACGAAATCGTGATTAACGGCAACTCAAAATATCGTCTAGTCACTTAATTGACATACCTTGTATAGATAAACGCATTCATTTTATTTAAATTTGAATATATTTTACGATGTTAATGTGTATCAAATAGTAGAGGAAAACTAAACAACAGAGTAGAAATATTTAAGTGGAGCACTTCTATTGACTACTGTTTGATTATTGTTGTTTTTAGTAATTGTTACTCCTAGTAATAACCGTAGTAAATTCAATTATACCGATTATCACGATTGAATGTTCGGCCAGTGACGCCAGGTTCGTCAATTAATGCAGTACACCTGATAAATCATAGTAACGAGACTCATTCAAGAAGCATTCGTACGCAGTTCTATGATTCATTTCGGTCCTTATCGTACTCCGATAAGGAACCTTGTTTGTAAAGCGATATAACGCCCTTTCCGATGCACGGTATTGCGATACGAGTGTACTACTTTTTTACCGGAGTCAATTTTTCCTAAGAATCTAGGAAGCCTAAAATATCTGCCCGCCATACAATATCAAATTACATCAAACATATTTTTATTTTCAAATTTCTTTCCATATTTAATCTCAGACACCTATAAACCTATCTGTTTTTAGTAAGAATCTAAGAAGGCTAAAATATCTGCCCGCCATACAATATCAAATTACATCAAACATATTTTTATTTTCAAATTCCTTTCCCGATTTAATCTCAGACACCTATTGTATACACATGTTGAAAAACATTCAATTCTTCTATTCTAACATATTCAAACCGAATCAAGCACGATGTAGTACTTTTTTCTATTCATTAGTCACATGGATTCCACTCTTACTAATGCTTGATCAATTATTCTCACAGATAATTAACCTCATAATCCTGATCCTGTACCGAACAGGATTCAAAGGTGAATTTTTGGGTGTCGGTGGAACATGGAACTTGAACGAAGACAAAAGTCCGGACGCAGAAATTGTTGCGTCCGGAGTTCTGGTGGGCTTCTTCATTTATACAAGCGTCGTTCTGATTACTTTCTGTTTCGGAAGCACGTACCACAAGAGAACGCTTGTTGTAAGATCGTGTTTCTAGATTTATATTGTTATTTTTTTATTAGTTCACCACACTAAGAATGTATTATTTTTTAGGAAATTATAATGAACTTTGTTGGAACCTTCATGTTCATCGCTGTAGGTGGGACAGCGCTTCATTACTGGCACGGCTATCTTCCGGAACACAAATTCGATACTATTGTCCAAGAACGACAGGTAACAAAGACGAAGTTTTAAAATACAGTAATCCCTCTCTGTAATCACGTTCAGTTATCTTTGTTATAATCACATCGATATCATCAAAGTGATCAACTCCACAAAATTTATGTTCAATATTTATTTTAAATATAAGAAATTTAGCACCTAAGCAAGAGTTTTGGTAGTTGGATTTGAAAAAGTAAAAAAATGATATTAGTTACTTTCTTAGCTGATAGAACTGTGATTTTTACTGTTACAAGATAAAATAGACTCTTTAGACAATTAATAGATCTCAGAATCGTGTACATTGCTTTGTATTGTAGCATTACCAGCCTCAGGCTGTGAGACTATAGGCAGAAAACACTCTTCGAAAAATGACTTGAATTTAAATTTTTAGAATACATCTGTACCTAGAAATGATTTGATTTCAATGTCTTGTTCACCACATTGTTATGCATTTTTCGGTGTCTATATATAATATATTTTTTCATTTTTTTAGGTGGGATTAGCGGTTGGTTCATTATGCGTCATCGAAGGTGCAGCGTATCTGGTGGACCTGATATTGAGCTTTTTGCACTTTGCGAAAAATCGTGATGACTTTTTAGAATAGAGTCGTACGTCGCGTGACAATTAATTACATCATCCGTTCATATTTTATTTTAAGTAATTCTGATCATGCGCAGAATCAACAGTTTCAATTATATACGAAATTAAAATACGAAAACTTTTCAATATTTTTTGTTTACCAACTATAATCATTTAAGACTGGAATAACTAAAAAAAGTTGAAAATAACTTTTCTTTCAAAAGAATTAACCTCAATTATGTTTTTATATGTAATGTAGTTATTGAGTATATATTTTTGAAAAGTTTTCGATTATTTTTTAATTATCTTGCAGATCATTCGCATAAATTGAAAGCATTCCACATGTAATTAATTCCTCCAGCAGTAGGTAATAAACCATTAGTTAGTTAGGAATCATGACAGTTGAATTGTCATTTAAATGATTGTTTACATGTTGACAATTTTCATTCGAAATAGAATAGAATCGTCAGTTTTGATAATAAATAATAGTAATACATATAAATAATAATTATCCATAATTTAATGGCGTTATTGAATGACATTCGCACTCTATAAAATATTTTGTACTTGTGTACTTTTGTATTAGGTATTTCCCTGCGGAATGTAGGAAATAATTAAATTTTATACATAAGTACCATACTTTTACTATTTACAATATAGGAATTTTTTTAAAGCACATCTTCGAGTGATTAACATACATAATCCACAATAAATTAATATATCGGATAGATTACCGTCTTTAATAAAAATGGTCTGAGCATCGACAAAAAGTATCGTTTAAAACAAATGTTAAAAATGTATTAACAACTTCAAGGCACAGACGAATAGTAATCATCCAATTGACCACAGTCTGTTTGTGCTATTTGTACGTATGACAATAATTTTCAAGAAGAACGTGTGAAATAAATAAAATTTAAGTGAAAAAATGGGTCGATCTTGCACAGAAATTTGGACAGATGTCCACTGTGTGTTGAAGATTATTATAGTCGTAAGTGATCTGAAATTATAATGCCAATATAATATAATCATCGAGCTGTGTTTTTGATTTAGGCTCTAATCATGGTCGTGGAATTTTTAGTTTTCGATTGGAGCACGAAACAATGCAACAATTTCGTCTATGTCGAAGGATATTACATTGTTGTTCTTTGTCATATGCTGATCATTTTGTACGGTTTCACATGGTTTGAAGTAGCACCGATTTTGGTAATTACATTTCACGAAGACACGTTTATCATTTTAAATAAAACACTTACCCACTACAAAAAACCTTACGTTACAATATATACTTACAACGTAAAAAAGAATTGATCAATTAAAAGTAGTAGGAGAAAAAGGAAACTGAATAATAATACATTTTTTCTATTAATGACTGCGTTAGATTAAACATCCAATGAAGACTGCATTCAAGCTCATTAAGTTTTGCAGTTCATTCTGATTTACTCAACCGAACCTATTATAATATTTTATTAATAATTATTAATGCGTAACATTTTCAGTCTACCAACTATAAAGCATAAAAATACTTGATAAATTTTCAATAATTAATTTAATGATGAATTGTCTCTCATTCAGGAAGTCTTAATAGTCATTGAATCGACAATTATGTTGGTCTTTACGGTCATCATGTACATTCGAGACTACGATTCGAAGTACCTAGTGGGAAGTAAGTTGACGAGACTACCAAAAATCGTCTGCCACTATATCCATATCGCTGTATTAATCGTCATGCTTTTTCAGAAAGCGAGAAGGACCAGTTCACAATTTTCCTTGTATTGACTCTAGGAAAGTTACTTTTATTCAATATTCTAGTTCGTTACTGATTAATAATTAATTCCTTGTCTTTTTCATTAACAGTGGCGATCGCAGCTCTCGTAATCGACTTGGTCCTCCTCATACTAGCAGCTTTAGGGAAGGGACCAGGTTTCGCTAAAAGAGGCGGTGGTGGTGGTGGTGGTGGTGGCGGCGATTAAAACAACTTGAAAATATCATTGACAAAAAAACCACTGTCAGAACTCACGCAAACTTAAAAATAAACAAAAGTGAAACCAATTAATCGGAGCCTATTAATGTATTTATTAATTATTCAATTTTCAATTGAGTCGTGATTAATGTATTTAATTAAAGACAGGTCGATTTAATTTCTATTTAGTAACAATTTAACGAGTCATTTCATTCGTCAAACTTCAAGGCAATAGATGATTCAAGTAAACTTCCATGCTTTTTATATTTAAGCAAACATGTTCGCCCTCGCGCGACAGCTTCTGAAAGATTTTAGCTTCCTCTTGAAAATTCTGGAACTGGTAAAATGAATATTTTATCGAATATTTTATCGAGTAATTATGAATGGATTTGAAGTTTCATTCGTGTTTGTTGGTCACGTAGATCATTGCAAGCGTTTGCCTCCACGAACTCACGAAATACAATGAATATTCGATGCCAAGATGGTTATGGGTTATCTACTGCATCGACACGTCGACGTATTCTATCATTTACTTTTCTATTGGGATGACGCACGTATTCGACAAACCACGAAGAGTAGCAGTTAGTTGAAAAAGAAAACTTAATTTTAGTATATTTATTTTTATTACTTCATTGCCCCAGAAATAATTACACTATGAATTCGCGTGTAAAGTGATTTATAAATTAGTATTTTATTGATCTATGAAATTACGCAGGAAGAAGCAAAATCTTCAAAAATAAACTTCCACAATCTGGTGATTAATATTCTGAAAGATATATTATACGTTTCTCCCATTTAACGTAATTACCAGCAACACAAAATTTTCCGTGTTTCATTCATGCATGGGTGTCAAATTGTCATACACCACTTAAGTATGACCTGGGGAGTTCACTGAACACATATCCACCCACTGCACTTGCAATTAGGGTTGGTTGTCTCTGTCATAATATCTTGTTAAATCAATATTCTGCAAAGAATTTTTAAATAATCCTATTCTTTCGTCTACGTATATTAACAACATAGTACAAACATTTCTTATTGTTATAACTACCGAAGAATAATTTATATTTATTTCATATAAAACATCGAATAAGAAAATGTTTTTTTCTGTCATTTTCTTTTTAGGAATTGACCTGCTTCTCGATCGGAGTGATTTTCAATTTGGTTGGCGCAATTATGGGCATCGAAAGAGCGCATAACTCGACATCGTTAGATTTGGAAGTGCATCGCAGCGAAATGAAAATAGGCTTACTGCTACTAGGTGTAAAATCAAAAAACAAAATTTCCTTAAATATTTACTATGCCCTCCATGGATACGAGAAGGGATAAAGTATAACTTTTTTCAATTAAATACTTCGTGACTAATATAAATTTGCGCAAGTTTTAAAACAACTATCTAATTAACACGACAATTCAAATCAAAATTTTTTCTTCAGCATCAAAGATTTCATTAAATTCAAAGTAGAGTAAGTTGTAGCGATTGTCATTGAAAATCTAATTTTATTTTGTTCCATGAACTCGCATCTTCTACAAAAACAAGAAATCCTCAATCTATCCGTAACATTCTGATCGTTTTCAGGTAACTTCGTCATCTTGTTTTTCGAAACTGCCTACATAGTCTACACAGAGATTTTGAGAATAAAAAATGCCACGTAACGTCCGTTAGTAATGTACAAGACACGTAAATAAACGTTCTTTATTCGTATATGCGGTGTCCGTGTTCTGTTTTAAGAGTTGGTTAAACATTTCAACAGCGTATTCTTGTTATACGAATATATTGCATAGAAAACAGTAGAATGAAGTAAGGTCATTTTATGTTTGCCAGCTCTCGTTTCTTTCTTGCTACTCACGTTTCATTATGATAAGAACCACCAGATCCGCAATTAATACGCCGGCTGAAAGCACCAAAATCGTATGAATAAATTTCCCGTGGTTTTTCACGTCTTTAAATATTTATGTCATTTTATCAATTGTAAACTGGTGTCACATAACGTGCAGGTGCATTGCATACTGCACAACTATCGATAAAGCTATAGTAAACAGTTGCTCCAAAGATTCTTTCAATTCATGCTATAACCAAGTACATGACGAAAAATTGTGGCAGTGTTACGTTAAATTTATGTTTTCATATTGTAATTGTAACTATCACATGATGTATTTTTAATATTCATTTAAAATTTTGTATAACAATCTCTTAGATAAATATGTCTTTCCATATACATACATAATCCATTTATATGTACATACATATCACCTATGTGACTCGGATACCATGGATTCATATACATATTGTAATATGGAACTAAATATTGTATTGTATTCGATACCTGTATATTATCAGGTATACCATGTAATCTATTGTTTTCTACTATGTTTAATATTACTTCCTATACGTAGAATATTAGCTACTGTTGCGCCTATAAATTCTGTAACACTAATTTAGAGTTATCTTCCATTATCGTCGCGATATGGGTTTTGTTACCTAGTACAAACGGCATAATACATTGCTTCGACAGGTCCAGTAACGCAGTGAACAACATTAAAGCGATGTACATTCCGACAGCGAATACTTCCTATGAAAACAGAGGCCAAGTGATTGCACAAATAATATTAGATAAAAGAGAGATTTAATAGCTCCTTGTATGTCTTTTCTTAGAAGACTTTATCCCCTTCTATTTGCTATCTTGAAATATTTTAAATTTTAAAAAATGTCTAGCTTATATAAAAGTACTGTTTCTACTAAAGACATCTTCCTTGAGAATGTTTCGAAAATTTTTTCGAGAAATATCGTATAAAATTTGTGAAATGGAAAATAGAAAATTATAGAAAATTTTAATCAGAGACATAAATAGTATCGGTATTACAAGATAAGCAGATAAGGAATCACGCGAGAATAAAAGTGTTAATGAGGATAAATATGTTGTTACTATAAAAACATAAATCTAGTCGCTGCAAAATTTCAATAATAAGCCAAAAGCTATGAAATTGTTCATTAGTAAACTCAAATTACAGAAACATTAGGTGATTTAAGATTTTTATGCTACTTTTGAAATAAGAAACATGAT